GTGCTTGCCACATAGAAGAAAAACGTTGAAAATTATTGAAATCGGACTAAAATTACGACCGCTTTTCATATAACGGTAAATTTCAGGAAATGCTTGAAACTTCAATATTTCGAAATTTAAGGACGCTAATTTACTCAAAATTGATACACCCCGGCTTACCATGTAGCGGTAGCTTTCGGAAAGGTGAAAAACATATATGTATTTAATACTTGCGCCGGGTATTTAATGTTCGGCTCCGCCCGAACTTAGACTTTCTTACTTGTTTACAATTTTTTTATTTGTTTATCTGTTTAGATAATGCTACGATCTTGTTTTTAAACTACGTATACTTCAATAAATGTTCATGTTTTAATCAAGGATTTACATATTTATGCAAGTTAACAAGAAGATGTATCTACATCAATAATTATGTTTGCTTAAGTACCCGCATCGAGGTTCCTAAGCGGGTTCTTTTAAATAAGTACTTCATAAAGCCTAAGTACTTCAAAAAGCTGAAATTTTGCGGGTATTACTGTAAAATGAATTATTACAATATGAGTGTCGATCAAAATGGGTTTGAAAATGCTTTATTTTTAAACTAGTTGTTGGTCACGTGTTTAATAAATCTAATTCGACTTGCTTTCGCAATTCCGTTTCAGAAATTTCTTAAACTCATCGAGGAGGGTGAAGGCAATCTAGTTCTAAATAAAAAAATTGTGAAAAGACATGAAGTTATCATTGTCTTTTTTTTTAGGCGGACACAATTTTTTGAATGGTTGTATTCTAGAAATGGTGATTCTTATGAACCAAAATGTCATAGCTGGTTTTACAGATAATTGCATGATCTACACTTTTGTTACCTATTTGTAATAAACCTTACCGTTTAGCTGAAAAATGGTAAAAATCAATTTATGTGAACTTTGACCTTGAATAACTATGTGGTTCACAAGGTGTCGTAACTGTCGTATTGTCGTATGTCGTAACATTTTTAACGTCTAAATAAATATTTAGGGCACTTGAAACCACAACCAACTATTTTTTAATGGTGTGAAATTTCATAATACGACTTTTATGGTAGCCTGCGAATCCTTTAAATCTAGTTATAGCCGATTAAAATTTACGACATACAACAATACGACAGCATATAACACCTCGTGAACTCCCTAAATATTTTTGCAGATCTGGGATCAATATGAACTTTTCACATTTCCTTTAGAGGTGTTCGTAACATTCGTACCAATTTTTAGCTTTCTGCGAATTATTTCAACCTAGAAAATCTAACTTGACCGGTCTAATAGGAATCAATTTTATTAATATGGTTTAAATAGAGTAGCTACTTATTAAAAAATATTTGTCTTACGGGTTAAAATGTACTTTAATTGGGATGACAAGTGATAATTTGTGGTAGAAGAAATTGTGCACCGATTTTGAAAATAAAATTTTTTTACATGGAAAAATCCCCATCTCAAAAGATTTCCCCATATGTGCATGTGCAATATATTTCCAGTGGGAAAAGGAATGTCTGCGAAAGCAAAAAGTAATGGATACCCCTTATAACCACGCAAGAAATGATGCTAGAATGATGCGATGTCGTTACGAAACTATAAATAGAATCTATAAATAGAATAAAAAATAAAGTACGTGCCAAAGGTTTCGAACCCACGGCAGTCGAAAACGCATCCATTCGGCTACAGCAACTGTTGAGATAACGTGAAAAAAATACTTGAGTTAGTTTTCAAACTTTTTGTATTGTTTGTGACTTCAAAACTACACATCCTTAACCGTAGTTGTTAATATTTTCTTGGTAGAAAAGGGTAATGGATTCTTATTTTCCCACTGGGATTGTTTACATACATACATACTTATGTACTTACCACGTTCGAGAAAGTTCTGCGAAGTGCTCGCCGCATTCTGTTCCTCATCCGTTATGTAATACAGACAATCATGCAACTTGGATACATCCAAATCTGTTACTTCAGAGCCACGCAATGGTTCCGGTAAAAAGCAAATCGGATATGTTTCCCATTTCCACTGAAGCTGCGATAAAAGAATGCAAAATACGAAACAGATATACAGGTATAGGTACATACATACTTTCATATGTACATACATGAATACATGGTTGTTCATATGAAACTCCAAATGAAAAATATCTGTATTATATGCTTTACCAACCTTATTTCAAAGTAAAGGCTACATACTAAATATCAACGTTCCCCGGTTGCCAATTAGGTTATTTTTAACCAAAATTGGTTGTTATACCCGAGCGCACTTGTGCACAAGGGTATTATAACTTTGTTCACATAACGGTTGTTTGTAACAGGCAAAACGAATCGAGATAGATATAGACAAATGTATACATAAATGATCAG